TTGAAATGTGAATTATTTATATATATATATATATATATATATATATATATATATATATATATATTAGTGCTGTCAATCGGTTAAAATATTTTAACGAATTAATCGCACACTGGTTTTTGAATAATCGTGATTAATCGCGATTAATCCCACCTAACATTAAAGTTTTTAAATATACTTTTATATTGCAATAATTTTACATGCAATCTTCAAATTAATGTACAAACAACATAAAACAGTATATTTTTAAATATTTGTTTAGTGGCGTCTTTTTTTTATGACTGAAGGCGAGTATCACTGATACCAATGCTGATGCCTCTATGAAATAGGTTCCTCCCCCTAATATTTAACCATTGATTATAGCCATTCAACATTACAGTATAACTGAGAGCTATCAATTTTAACCTTTATAAGACTTTAAAAAATTACAACTTCTAATTTAACTTAAAACAATCTTCACATAAACCCATTATAATAAGTGTTATATTTAGTTAACTGTGCCCTTCGGCAAATATAGGCCTACAGAATAAAGTTATCAAACACTAAATTCTAAATTAAATATAGATGAATCCTTATACAGTAGCTACAAAAGTTATTGATTTCACATCAGACATCACAGCAGCTGGGATATTAGGTTTTTTGGCTGTTATTTCTTTAAGCCAGTCCAATAACCAAATATATATATTTTATTTATTAATTGACTATTTAAACTATTTAACTAACTATTATAAACTATTTAACTAACTAACTAACTAAATTTCCTTACCAAAACTAAAGAGGAAATGCTATTGGCTACCTTTCAAAAGGGTGTTTCATACACTGACACAGGGCTGGGTCTGAGGAGGATTAGATCATTTAAGCTCCTTCTGGGCTTTATGTCAAGAATAGAACAATAAGAAGTGGAGCAGTGCCCTGATATCAGCTGCTGTTGATGCAAATACCGCCTTTACATCATCACTTCTCTAAAGGAACCTCTGCGGAAACGTGCACGGCCTTAAGGTAAGAATTTGTCTGGATCCGTAAAGTTCCATATAGTTTGAATGTGTCTCTTATAGTTAAGTGATTGTCATGGCAAGGTTAGGACTTTGCTGACTCTTGCAAAATTTAACAAGGCAGACACACACATTTGTCATGTCTTGTCTTCCATTAAAATAATAATGTATTTTTTTAGAATATCAAACCAATACAATTAAATGAGAAATTTCCTGAATTACGAACTAATGTTTCATTTATGGAATGATTTTTGTTTGTTTGTTGACTGACTTATACAGCATTTATGTACACAGATTTTATGATTATATTGAGAGACCCTATGAAATATTTGGGCTTTTAAATGTTGATTTGTTAAAGGAACATTTGAAATGAAAGAGTGTAAGTGTTATTAGTTAGTTAGCGTTATATTAGTTAATGTATGAGGAACAATACTTCACAGCATTTAGTCATCTCGATTATAATGTTCATTTCTACAATAATAAAACATTTTCAGCATTTCAGCTTGTATTAAATGACCATTACTTTGGATTGATTCATTAATTCATTAGTTTATGAATGAACAAGAATTCACAGTGAACAAGAGTTATTTGTAAACAAATAAACAACAACACAGAAGATGAAATTGGCCCATCTTTCTATGTTTTAGAGTACAGGACTGTAGATGCCAGGTCATCCAGCAGAATGAGTCGGAGGAAGAGGAGGAACAGTCGCAGGAGGCGGAGCTCCAGCAGCAGTAAACGTGAGTGCTGATCTATATATATGTGGCTCCGGGGCCATGTGTGGACTGTAATCCTCTAAACACTGTCTGAGTCACGCTTAGCCCACGCCTGCAGCACAGCCCAGACACAGGTGCCCGATTAGGGGACGCCTATTCTCACAGCACTTGCCATCACACTGAAATCTGCTTTGAGATCTCTAAAATGACAATGAAAATGTATTTCCTTGATAGGTTAAGCAACTTTATGATGGCTAAAATGAAGTATTCTGTTACAAATAAGACTGAGGAAAGATATGTGCAATGCAATGCATCTAAACCTCTTATCTTTTTGTACAGAATGCATCTCTCCATATAATTTTCAAAGACACACTATGGTGGACACTGTGGAAGCTACAGAGAAGGGAGAAACTGACTCCTTCTGTAAAGAGCATGTCCTGTCAGTGTCTGAAGACGAGAAGGAGACTGAGACTCCAACCACG